TAAGAGAAGAATGTTGTATTAGTAGACTTGGCAATATATTTGATTGAAGACCTCATTAATAAAACATCAACCCTCATAGATGCTTAAAGGTGATTTTAGGAAGAATCATATTATTGGATCATGAATGCAATGAAGAAGCAAGTTTTACATGATTGAGAAGATTTTAAGTGATTGTGAGGAGTCTTTGGTAGCAATATGGATTATGCAATTAAAGGCGTTCTAGTCTAATGGCTCATGAGAATTTATATTGTTCATGTCATGTTAAAAAAAGTAATGGAAAACAATGACTACAAATTGATTACATCAAACCTGACTCTATAAGATTTCTAAGTGGATGATTCAAACTAGATGAAAACATAAACTAGGATGAAATTAGGTTCAATTGAATGACATGAAATTAAAATAAGAATGATAGTATTGGATTAATAAAATTGAATTGAAAAAAATTATAATAGATAAAATTAGATTAAATATTAGATGAAAACTTAATAGATGAATAATGTGTTTGAATAAGATTTTATTAGATGAAAATTCATTCATAGATGAAAATTCATTCTTAGATGAAATTTTGTTAATAGATAATAATTTATTTTTAGATAGAATTTTTTTAATAGATGAAGTATATTAAAAGAATGAAATAATTAAAATAAGTTTAATTTAAATATATATATATATATAGATATATATTATTCATGCATGAATTTGTTTATATAACCTTGTATTGAAAGTGACATTTGTAGTGATGGTTTTGTTTGACTAAGGAAATTAATCTAGAGAAGTTCTGAAGTAAGGTAATCAAGATTTAAGTAGTATGTACAATTTATAAAATTACATAGTTAATTTTCTTGTTATAATTTAGAATAACCTTTTAATTAGTACGAATTTATTTTAGCTCACAAAACATGTTATTATAAATAAGATATTATAATAAAAAAGATATGATGATGTAGAAGATGATGTAGGTATAAATTTTTTTTAATATATTATTAAAAAAAAAGTATATATTTAAATGCACTAATGAATTTTTTTTAGAAATTTATATTAAGATGAATAAATAGATGTTAAAAGTACTTAAATATACTAAATTAGTAAGAAAATTGGATTAATTAAGAATTTAAAGAAATCCATATAAAAACTTATGGACATTATTTGTATGAAGGATATCTATAGAAGCATCCAAAGCAAAGAAGAAAAGTACCACAATAGATGATATGTGGTTTAAAAACTCAACAAAAGATAACCTAAAAAATCCTTAAGAATTGATAGGCAAAGAATAGAAGGATTTGAGAAACTTTTATTAAGTTAAAATAAAGATATTCGTAGAAAGACATATATAAACATGTGATTAAATTTATAGAAATATTTTTAATTTTTTAATTTTATTCTAATAGGTTGCATTAAGATAAATAATATCTAATATATATTTTATTATTCTATTACAAGTAGAGATGGATTTGATGACAAAGAATATGAAATTTTTTAAAATAAATTATTTAATTCTTATAAAAAAATATTTATTACATATGATTAAAAAAATTAAGTACAAAAACATATTAAAGGTGTTTATTATTTTTCTTAAAGGATATTATTTATACTATGGTTGTATTAGAAAAATATTTGTAAATAGGAATTAATTGGATGCAAGAAAAATAGAAAAATCTTTGATGGAATAGAAATTAAATTTTTCTTGAGAACAAAAAATAATTTAAAAGATCATAGAAAGAATAAGTATGGGCATCTATGTATTATCAAGGCATTAATAAAGACATAAAAATATAAATTATATATATATATATATTTTAATGGCCTAAAATACTACTATTTTTATTATAGGTAGACTACACAACTTATAGTACTTTGAAAAACTATATGCTTAGTGAACTAAAATATAGTCAAAATCTAATAAACCTAATAGAAAAGAACTTTTAGTATTATAGATTTAATAAGTGGAAAGAACACCTAATGATATTGAAGTAACAATATTGAGATTGAAAGAGACAAGAAAAAATTATAAAAAAAATTATTTGATAAAAAAGTATTGATTATAATTTAATATCAAGATCATAAATCACAAAAAAATCAAAGAATTAATATGTTCTTATGCCATTAGAATAGAGTAAATATTTACTCAAAGATAATTATTATATTAAAACCTTAATAGCTATTTCTAAAAAAAATATTAGAGACTCATAAAATAAGATTTAAATATTAGAGACTCATAAAATAAGATTGAAAAAAAAAAATAAAAAAAAAACTAAAACAAAGAAAAGCCTTACTTATTTAATTCAAGAGCTATGTGGAAATATTTTATATATCATCTAACATGTGTCTAACTTGCACGGCAAGTTTTAAACATGTGCGCCTCATTGCTAACTTGTACAATAAGAGACCAATATATGTGTCATGTCACCATCTTATAAAACAAGTGATCAACATATACAATATGTGGCCAATTTTTTGGCCAAGAATTCAACCTACCAATCACCTACAAGTACTCATAAAGTCAAATTTTTTTGTATGAAACTTCTTTATAAGAATTTATCAAAATTATATGCTTTTACATCTACCTAAATTCTCTTATTTAAACAATTATTAGTATTGATATACATGTCTTTGATACTTGAGGAAATTAAAATTAATGATTGGATGTTGATATATGAAAACATATAAAATCAACTTAATACATCAATTTCTTTTTAAAGAAGATAGATTAGACTATATATTGCAATGAAAGTCCATAAAGAAGCTACATACTTGCTACAAAAACTTGATAGAATAGAATTGAAAATACCTAAAGTAAGAAAATAAGTTAATTTATTTAAAAATAAAAGTAAATGAACTCATTTTAATAAAGAATAAAATTCAATAAATGATATGAAAATAAAACTTGATGAAAAATCTAAAAATTAAGAAGTTATCCAAGATAAAGAATATTTTATAATAATATAATAAAGAATTATTAGTACATACTAATAAATGCACAAGTTTAAAGAAAATAGATATCATGATCTAACATGAATATTTTTTAAAATAAATAAATAAATTAATTAAATAAAAGAATTTATGAAAATATTTAATAATATTTTAAAATAATAAGTATCAAATTATATATATAGATACTATTTTTTTTAATTAAAATAGCTATTATTTACTTTGTAGAGCCATAAATAAGATAAGATAAAGTAAATAAGATATAAAGTCATTGTAGACATCTTAAGATAGAAGTTGAATATATTTTTAATAAAAATTACTAAAAAAAAATAGATAAATATCCAAGAAGAACCATTTATAAAGCAAGATAAAAAAATACTAAACCTTATAAACAAATACCTACAACAAATATAAAGTTCTTTTGTTGATCAAAAAATGCAACTATAGAAGAGACTTTGAAAGCTTTTATATGTGTTATTTTTGTGCAAACTAAATTCATAATGAATTTGTGAGAGCTAAGCAATGTCATGGTTTTATTTTGATAATAAGGTGTTTATAAAAAATATGAAATATAAAAAATAAATCATGAGATATATTAAATTTATTAATTCTTAGCAACTTAGATACTTGTGCATATCTATATGTATGTATATATATATATATATATATATATATATATATTTGAAATATTAAAATACATTTTATAAATTTTTGAAATATTTGTTGACATGAAAATATTTATATGTCAATTTTATATATTATAGGGACTTAAATAAATGTAATTAAACTTAGTTAAAAAATATGTTTTTATTTATTTATTTACTTTCTGCTCTCAAAAAAACATCAATACAACTTTTTATACTAATATCTAGAAAGAAGATCGAATTACTATCTATAATGAAATATGCACATTAAAATAATTACTTGATACATGAGTTTTATTTTGCATGACATATATATATTATGCTAAAAGCATTTAAGCATCTAAGTTCTTTCAAAATTTCAAGAATATATATTTTGGTTCTTATTTGTAATATGATCCTGTAAATTCAATGCTTTTAATAAATAAAATATTAATTTAACATATGATTTTATTGGATCACTTTTCTGTATGTATAATTTATCATTCTTTTTTTTATTTTTTTAAATTACTGCAGATCATCAATTTTGAAGATAAAATAAAACATGAATGGAAGAATGGTTAAGAACTATCACAAATGCAATTCAGTGATCAAAAATCACAATCCAATTTGTAATATATGATGGTAATATTTGGTGCATGTTTTTTTGAAAGAAGGTATTTGGGTTGCTTCTATATGTATTTGCAAACAAACTTTATAACAGTTTATACCTTGCATGTTTATACGTGTTATTATCAAAAACATATAATAAAGCTTACTGTTTTTGAGACAATCTAATATGTTGTCTTCATAAATGTAACCAAAGCACAATCATGGATTGATATACTCAAGAAGTCTCTTAACTTCATCTTGTGTAAGGAGTCACAAAGTGACACTTTACACAAAGTCATTTTATTAAAGTCCTCTGAAATCAATTGTCGTTAATGGTGCAATAAACAATCGTTTCAAGACATCAACTATTTATCATTATAACACAAGACATAAACTAAGTATCATTAGAACATCACATGCAACCAAACTTCCACACATCATTCAATGAGAGGCGGCAGTTTTAACAGGCCCCCAACAAATCAATTCCAGAACCTATAACCGCGAACTCAGTTCCACTGAGCATGATTAGCAAGTTTCAGACCCTGTAACCACTGATCAAACTCCAGTAGGCATGATTGACACGTTTCAGATCCTCTAAACCACTAAACATGATCAACAAGTTCCGGACCCTATAACCACTAATCAAGCTTCACTAAACATAATTAACAAGTACTGGATCCATAACCAAGAATGATGTTCACCGTGTACCCGATTGACAAATTTCAGACCCTGAAACAACTAATTGAAGTCCACTAAGCTCGATTAGCGGGACCCTCTAATCCGGGATTAGTACAAGTCACATGTTCGTTCTACTCACTTACAGTCCGCCCTACAAAGATGGCCAGCCTCGACTCGTGGCGCCTCGTGAACAGTCTTCAAACCCGTGGGCGTTCAGCACCAGAGCATTTTCTACAGTTTTCTCCGCGGATTCTTTCTTGAAGAAGCTTTTTCGATGCAACGTCAGTTGGGTTGAACCAGAAATGGCCCCCATTGCAGTGGGTGATACGATCCCCGACGTGACGCTATCCTACTTGGACGATGACAACCAGAGCCAGAAGCTCAGCACGCACCAGGATTTGAAAGGCAAGAAAGTGATGCTTGTTGCTGTTCCTGGCGCATTCACTCCCACTTGCAGGTGAGTTGCTTCTTCATGCCTCGGTGTGCTTTTGTGTAAGGCTGGATCAGGTTCTTAACCCATTCTTTCTCCTTGTTTCAGTCGCCGGGTCACGGTGAGGGAAGACATAGTGTTGCGTGGGTTAATCTTTTGGGTTTCGGTGTTGATGTGGAGTCTGCCGTGCTGTGGAGTTTCTCGAAAGATTAGTCAGCTCTGAGCCTCGATGCGAGGTTTTTGTTTAGTTTTTCATGTGAAAATATCCTTCTGGAGGTGTCGAGTATCTTTTGAAATTGGAGAATAGTATTTCGTTTCGGTGCTTTTTTTTTAACATTGGGTTTTATGTTGAGTCGTTTCGTTGGTCTATTTTGTGGTTTGATTGGAAACGTTGGACTGAATTACACTTCGCACTTAACAAGTAGTATGCGAATGTGTTGCAAACAATGTCATTATTCTGTGTACTGTCGCTTATGGTTCACATGTCATTTTGTGGCAGCCAGGAACACGTTCCCGGTTTCATCGACAATGCCAAGGAGATCAAGAGCAAGGGTGTGTCGGACATCATCGTCGTCTCAGGTCTGTTTATCACATATCCGCCATGCATACGTGGGTTTCTACGATCCGTTCCTTAGGAATTGGGTTATGCGCCGATACTGCTTATCAGGGACGTTCTGCGCCAGAGTCGTGGTCCTTGAGGTTTCCTGAAACTCTGCATTTCAAGAGGAGTGATCGTGACGTAAGGTCTGTTGTGCAGTGAATGACCCGTTCGTCATGAAGGCATGGGAGCGTTCCTATGATGGTGCTGAACACCTCAAGTTTGTGGCCGATGGTTCTCTAGAGTTCACCAAGGCGTTGGGATTGGAGCTGGACTTGACCGACAAGGGATTGGGCGTACGTTCTCGTAGATTCTGTCTACTGGTCGATGACTTGGTTGTGAAGGTTGCGAACATTGAGGAAGGAGGTGCATTCACAGTTTCCGGAGCTGAGGAAATCTTGAAGGCGCTCGTGTGAAGTGGAGGAAGTCTCATAGCTCTCTTTGTGAAGACGATTTCTTGAAACATACTAGTTTCTCTGTGAATTGAACCTTACTTCAAGTACTTGAAATTGCCACATTTTGGAGGTGTTCAAACTCTTGCGAAGTGTTGTGAAGCTCCTGAGCTTGCAATGAGGTACATCTGTGATCTTAAGTAAACACTATTGATATTAATGTTGGAGTTTTACTGCAAACACAATGTTCAGTCCAACGTTAGTCATAAAGTAACTCTTGAATAATGTTCAGACTTCTGCATTCTCTCAAAAAATGACGACTATGAGCAGATAACGCAACAGTCGTAGCCTCTTGCCTATGCATGTGGAAGGCAACTTATCCTAAACCCTTCTCCTCCATTGCATTCCTTTGAATGGGCATCAAATTCGTTAGTGAGTAAATTTTTAGTACCCAGGCAAACGTTTATGCCACTATCGTTGGCAGGATTTATGTTAAGGTTCAGAATACTTGGTGATACCCTCCCCATCGGATTTTTCCTGGATGTTTTTTTACAGAACTCTGTCTGTCTCTGAAGATATGTGGTACGAATATGGTGGACAGGATATTGACATGAGATCCCTCTTTCTCTATCACACCCAGACAGCATGCCACGCTGTGACATTGTATAGATGAAGCTGTTTACCGCCAGTTCCATGGATCTGATCCGTAGACAATGGAATAGCCCACTCGCACGCGTTAGATGCACTCACATTTGAAGAAAACTGTAAACGACATGGCAATGCTGTGAAAATAGTAATGATGTTGTAAAATGAAATCGAGTGCATTGTGGATATGAATATTTTGGTTTAGAACTTAGTCCGACTCGAAACGTGTGTTTAGAACGAGGGGAACTTTGTCTGACACTTAGAACGAGGGGAACGGGGACGGGAGCTGGGAGAATAAGTGGAACAGGGATGGGGAACGAGAAGAACAAAGACGGGGGCTGGGGGAATGAGGGTATGGAAATGGGGGCTGGGTCTACGAAGAGAATGCGGATGGGTTGAAGGAGTGCAATTATGATTTAGACATGTGGGTTGATTTAGTAAGAGTCTGGGTCATTTTAACATTTTTCTATAATTAACTTTCTTTATAAATTTTTATTTTGCAAGATTTAGCAACTTTAGCTTAAGCTTTAACATTTCCACTTTTATTATAGAAAGTTTGCTTAAGAAATTTAAAAAACATCACCAGATCTATTTAAAAGTTTAAAAATCTAATTATGGCATTAGATGTTTTTTAAAAGTACATAGATTTGTAAATATTGACAGTTTGATCATTTTAAATTGACTTTGCAAATAGCTAGGATTGTGTAAGTTTTGATTTGACTTCTCTCCTAAATTTTGATGGTCTAAAAATCTAGTGGTAGATTTAAAATGTTCCATAGTTTTTTTAATTTATGAATATATGGCCATACTTTTGTACTTTTTTGTTGACTTTTGTTATGCTTTGTCTTTTAAAATTCTGATTTGATTTATTTTCTAATTTACAATACACTTGATCTTAATGGGATGTGTAGAATCTCCAAAAAGTCTATAGTTTAGGAGTTGTGAAGTTTTTAAAATTACAAAATTATCCTTTGTATAATATATAAAATATGTTAAAAATTTCAAAAACTATTTATAGATTTAAAATTCTGTAAAAGTAAAATATATAATTTATATATATATATATATATATGTTTTTTGATTTCAAAATATCATGTATAGATCATTTTTTAATTTTACTATACATAAATAAATTAAAGTCATATAAACTATGTCTTGTGCTTATGCAATGGATTGTACATGGTCACGCTAATTTGCACCATATTCTCTAATGAAGTGACAAGCTCCTCCAATATAATCTTCATATACATTTACTTCAATATTCACAACTATTGGTCTTTTTTAATATCATTCCATTGTCACTTCTATCTACCACCCTATTGTATACAAACTAGGTTTAAGATTTAAGCTTAAAAGATTCAGGATTTAAGAATTAGGATTTAGCATTTAAAATTTAAAATTTGATTTTTTTGAAATTTAGAATTCAAAATTCAAGAGCTACATGGATGTGCCTAATTTTTTGACTTCTTTATTTTTTGGATTTTGACTTAACTTTCTTTTCTGAAAAATAAAAGGTGAGAAAATTAAATATATTTATAAATAAATAAAAGAGTATATATATATATATATATATATATCAAAAGGCTTATATCTAAAAATTAAAGAACTTTTAGAGGATTCTAATTTCACTACTAGATTTTTAAGATGCTTGAAAATAAAAGAAGATATCAAATTAAAACTTCTATAATGCAATGTATTTTTAAAGTCAACTTTAAGTTTGAAATGGTCAAATTCTTAATATCTACAAATCTATATACTTTTAGACTAATTTTTTGATATATTTAGAAAAGACAATCTTCAAATAGATAAAATAGTGTTTTCAAAACTCTCAAAAAGCCTTATATATCATAATTTGAAATCTAAAAGTTTAGGTCAAAGTTACTAAATCTTGCAAACTAAAAACTTATAAGACAAGTAATTTATACCATTAGAATTGTAGACAACAAAAATAGAAAAGTAAATCAAGTCAAAATTCAAAAATAAAGAAGTAAAAAAAATTAGAGACATTTATATAACCTTAAATTTAAATTCTAAATCTTAGAATATAGGTTGTATAATTTTAAGTTATTTATATTTATATAATATTTAGAAAATATTTTAATGTTAGTATTTGAAAGCTATAAAATTAAAAAATATTTATATAAGCTACCTATTTTATTGCCATTATGTGAACAAGTCTGTATTCAATTTTTTTTTCACATATTATATAAAGAATAAATTTGCAATTTTGAAAATCTTATAGCATCTAAACTATAGACTTTTTGAAGATTCTAAATACATCATTAAGATTAAATATATCACAAATAAGTAGATAGATCAACTTGTTTTTTAAAAAAGATAAAATATTAAAAAAATCAACAAAAAAAATAAAAATCCCCATATCTAAAAAATAAAAAACTTATAAAGTAATTTAAGTTTATTGCTAAATTTGTAGATCTCTAAAGTAGAGGAGGAAGTTAAATCAAAACTTATATAATCTTATATATTTGCAAAATCAACTCAAAATTATGAATGGTCAAAACTTCAATGTTTATAAATTTATATAATTTTTAAATAACCAAATGACATATTTAAAATAAGTAACTACAAAATATATCTATTTATATTTTCAAAACTACTAAAAATTCTTCTACAATAATTATCAAAATATCTATAGCTTATAAACTAATGACTTTTCAAATAAGTTATTTATATCATTAGAATTGTAGATAATAAATATAAGAGAGGTAGATAAAGTCAAAATCTAAAAATAATGAGATAAAACAATAAGAGACACCTGTGTGATCCTAAATCTTAAATTTAAATATATTAAAATTCTAAAACCATTAGTATTTTTAAATCTTTCAAAAATCATTCTTTAATAAAAATCAAAATCCTAAAGTCTAAGCAAAGTCATTATATCTTGTAAACTAAAAACTTATGAATGTTTTATTTATTGATTTTTAATCTATTTTAAAAATATCTTTTTGAGATTCCATTACCATTTCTTTTGGCAATGATTTTAAGGTTGAATACCTTTCTACACATAAGGTATCAAAAGATATGAGGTTTTCCATTTTGTTTGGCAAAATTCTCAAACTTGATGACCTTTCTATATTAAAGGTAATAAAAGTTGAAAGATTGCTCTATTTATTGGCAATGATGTTAAACTTAGGCACATCCTTGTATTAAAGATAGACAAAAATGTAAGGTTGCCTAATTCATTTGGCAATGATGTCAAGCTAAGATAGCCTCTTATATAAAAGGTAGTCAAAGATGTGAAGCTGTCCAATTTATTTAATAATGATATTAAGATGTAGCACGTTTTAATATGAAAGATACTCAAAGATATGAGGTTGCCAAAGTCATTTGAAAATTATATCAATCTTAAGTACTCACTTATATCAAAGATAGTTGAAGATGTAAAATTGTCCAATTTATTTGACAATGATGTCAATCTCACATGATGTATCATTGAGTGCCAAATCTTGTCAAATATATGTAATTTAGTTTAATTTAGTGGTTTTTCATCCATTTAGTTTCTTCCATTAGTTGACTTTATTAATGTCAACTAGGATTCAAAGACTTCAATGGAAAAACTTTCTTGACTTGACATTCTTGTCAAGTCAAATCTTGTGAGTGGTTTTAAGGAAGAGATAGCTCATGTTGTAAAGATTTGTTTGGCTATAGTAATTTTGCCATTAAGTAAAGCTTTAGGATTTTTTCTACTCACACTTGTATCCTTGAATTTCTCCTCTATGGTATAAAATATAGCTTGACTTAGTTTTGTATAAATTTATCATCTTATTTACTTGACAAGAATGTTTAGTCCTCTTCAACTTGTGTTGAAGTAAATTAAAATGGAGTGGTTTTGAAAAAAAAAAAAAAAAAAAAAAAAAAATCCTTCAAATTTTAGCTTAGGTACTAGGTTACAATGGCACTATTTTGTTGACACGGATTTCCATACTGTAGCTGCGCTGGATTTTTTGGTTTCAATGCAACACAAGAGAGTGCAGCGTTGGGGCTGATAGCGATAATCATTTGGTGCGAAAGAGGCTACAAATTGAGGTTGCGGAGCAGCACTGTTTTATATTGTCGCATTTTTTGTTTTGGGATGTAACATTGGGCTAGTACGACATTGGGACTATGTCGCAGAGTTGGAGAGCTGTTGTTGTTTTTTGTCAATCTTAAAGCAAAATTGATCTTTGGGGTACCGTTATGGAGTGTTGAGGCGTCTAGAGGACTCTCAGGCTACTTGGGCTGTTCAAGGCCCATCAGTTATTCAGCCAACATTCCCATGAACATGGGATGTTTGAGTACCACCACTGCTCGCAGGTAAAAAATTCCGAAGGATATACACTTGAGTCATTAAGGGGATTAGGTTTCATGAGTACCACTGCTTTGTACCCGTCGGGGTGGTACCATTCAAACACTCCTGAGTTGGCACTGCGATTAATTTCAGGGGAGGAATCAGGTTGCTACATGAGGGCTTGGACCCCTGCTGTCGTCCCCTGCGAGTTGGAATATATGCATCTGACATATTCTTCACTCTTTTTTCTTTCTTTCTTTTTTGGTTTCTTTTCCTGCTGGGATCTAGACAACAGAAGCGATTTTTCTGAACTAAGGATAAATCAACGCCGATGAGAAAAGAGTTCAAGTTTATCAATCGCAAGTGCACGATGCAACTTTGCTTCCAAATTGGTCGAATTGGGCATGAAGTCCAGGAAGACGCCTCACCGCGCTTGACCCATCGACCTGAACGAAACAAAAGAGCAGTAAAACAGTATCGAATTTGGTAGTTCAAGCTACTCATCGGACTAGTTGCGTAGAATTTCGTGAGAGGCTGGAAGCGGGGTTCATTGCTGAGCATGACAGCAACCATCGTCTAGGCTAACCTTTACGTTAATTACACCGCATGTATGGAAAGACCGACAGTTAATTCTCAAGATGCAAGTCACTTGGACAAGATTCAAACTGAGCAAGAGCTTACCGCTTTAGACCAGCACAATCTGAATCGAGCTCAACCTAAGGGTTGATTCTGTCGCGAAATCGCAGTCGCAGCACTCAGGATCTATTCCTTCAAGTGCATTGAACCGCGGGACACACTTCCTGGTACAGTTTTACCTCTTCCAGTGATTTTTCATTTGACAGACCTGAAGTACACTTAGTTACCAAGAATACTTCCGCGAGAGAGGGAGAGAAAGAGAGAGAGTGAGAGCACTTCTGCAGTATGAGAACCGACACACTAGACTTTCACCAGCGAGCTCTACCACGACCACCAACCCCGATCTTCCACCGACACCAATCTTTCTTTCCTCGACAAATTTCTCACCACACCGCCAACCAAATCAACTTGCCCTCGCTCCTTCTGCCGGAGGTTTTCAATAACAGTTCCAAAACTAGTTTTGTCGACCCAACTGTGAAAAACACTTAACAACTTCAACGAAAGAGAGCACGCCGACGAACCTCGAATTAACAACAGAGAACAAACGGAAAGCTCATCCAGGTGGTGCCAAACGGCGGGGTATTTGTCGAGACTTTTCTCAGGGAAGGATCTAACGCGGAGGATTGGGTTCGAGGTGAAGATCGTAAAGCGGAAATCGATGTGTTGGGTGCGAGTGAGAGATAGAGCGAGAGGCGGGGCTAATTCTGGTTGCGGGCTGGATGGATCCACCACCGTTACGAGGGCACTCCGTTACGAGGCTTGAGCCCCAGCCTTCAGGGCTTTTCCGCAACGACGGCTCCCAGTTTCAATCTCTTCACCCCTCCACGTAGGTTGGCCCAGCCACCACGTCAGCTATTTACCACGTGGGTCCAGCGTGGCGCCTCGCTTCCTCATCTACGCTATTGCTGTCCTGCATGGCCTCGTTTTCCATTCTGGTTTGTGTAGTTTTCCCTTGTTTCCATTGCAAAGTTGGTGGTAAAATTGATTACATGGGCGACGCGTCCTTGTCAAATACAGAACTTTGAGATGTCTAACATTTTTTACTTTTATGTATGTATAATACGTTGAATTTTTAAATTTTCAACGTTTTAATATTTCACTTCAGGGGGTTTTCTGTTTGTAATTTTGAGTATTGTGCAACTCTTAACTTTTGTAATATTTCTTTCTTTCTAATAGATGATAAAGGATTCATAATTGAACTGGGAATTTATAGAGATCCTGCAGCTAACTTCATTACTACAAAATGATATTTGGTATTAGTTTCCATGAAAAATTTGAGCTTAGAAAATGTTGTTGGTGAATCTCCCTCAAAAAAATCATTTTTCTACATATATCAAGATTTTTCGAATCTACTATATACTCCAAATATTTACGTTTGAATACGAACATGAGTGATTTTTGTACGTCCCAATTTACTACATGAGAAATATTCTCTGTATATGATAATCGTAGACATTTTATTCTAAAATACGGAATTGATGAAGGGTATTTAAGCTTACACATTACAAGAAATTGAATACAATAATTGGAAGGACAATTGAAAAGCAGCTGGCACACAGTGAGAGTGTGTGCTCGACGCCATTCTCCTATTGAAGATGTGGCCCACCACGGAGGCTGTGCTGTGTGTGTATCAATATGTGTATGTATGTGTGGTGGCTGGAACCTTTGGGAACACACCACGGGAGGGCCCCCCGTTGGGCATTGGTAATTTTAGTGGGTATTGAATATGCAGAGGAAGAAAGAGGCCTTTGATGTATGGAGGGGGTAGACCTAGAAGCATCTGGAATCTTCCTCTGCCTCTCTTTTATTCAAGGCTGATATCTAAGAGAGAACAGTATTCATTTTGGTATGTAAATATGATTTCAATTAATAACAAATTCATCAATTGAACATTGTATTGATGTTGTCCTGTCCCATGTCCCTCTAGGGGTTGAATTTTTGATATGAAATTTAAATTTCTTAATATTGATTTGATATTTATTTATTTATTCTGTTGGGGTAGGGGAGACAAAGCTCATGGTGACGGGGGATATGGATGTGTGTATTTAGTATTCTGAGTTCATTGTTTTGGAAGGGCTGATTTTGAAACGTGGATATTAGATGTCTGTTTTTGGTTTGGTGAATATATGAAGGCTTGATAGAACACAGAAAAACCAATCATGTAACTGTGGTACATAAACAGGCTGTGGGCTGATTGATATTTGAATGTTTAATTTTTTTGAATGGTATTTTAAAAGGAATGAATCTACAAGTATTCTTTTTTGTAAATTGATGATATAAAAAGGGCATGGATATTTTGACATTCTCAACAGCAAATCAATGATTTGGTGGGAGTTTGTTGGGGATGTTCCCATCAAGCTCTCCACACCAACACCACATTCCTTCAACACCCTTTGCAACTTCAAACATGAGCTAGTTATTGATTAGACTTGGAGGGAATTACACGCAATAGCTCTTGTAAGCTCTCTCAATCAGAAACACTAGAGTTCAATGTAAATAAACATGCAAAATTCTCAAACACAATGATACCAAAATATTCATGCCCCATAATTATCAAGATTATTTTCAATTGTATTTTGTTGAAAAGCTTGATAAAATTTACAATTCAACATTTGTTGTACTCTTATTCTTTCTCATTTTACCCGAGTAAAGGCACTTATTGGTTTATCCATTTTGGTGTTATTTTCTCACTGTTGAAAAATCTAAGCTTTTACTTTTACAGAGTAGTTTCGAAATCAAAGCTGATAAAAACTTTCAAACTTTGATTTTTTTCATTTTAAATGTAACATCGAATTCGAATGGTGTAACATATGTTAAATTTTATAATATATAATTTGTCCTGGTGCACAGTATTTGATGAATAATGAATATCGTAAAAATATAATCAAATTTTGTAATAAGAAAAAGATACAAATATTAGTTGATACTGAATCTATTGATTTTTTTGAAGAAATATTTCTTTATAAAAATAAAAAATTATTTGCCATTCCAATAATTTAATATATACAAATATCATTGATTGAAAAAATAACTAATACATGTTTTTAAATCTCAATTTTAATAAAAAAAAATATATTAATTTTAGAACAAATAGGATAATTATTTACACCCACAAAACATAATTTTTTAACAAGGTATTTTATTTTATTTTTTGTGAGAAGGTCAAGCTTTCGACTACATCAACAAAATATTCTTTGTCTTAGAAAGACAAGATTGACAATGTATTAATTTATAAGTTATATTATAAATAACCAAGAAAAAATTTTAAATGCTTTAACCCAATATTTTTAATTTTTTTAATAATAACATCAAATTACCCAATATTTACTAAAATCATTTCATGATTTTATTATTATTCAAATTACCCAATATTTTTAATTTTTTATTATATTTACTTTCAATGCAAAAATACTGCAACTATAATTTATTTTAAAAAATCTTATTATAAATTGTACGGTTTATAACATTCAGAATGTAAAAATCTACAACTAATTTTGGATTATTCTTTGTATCTACTAAAGAAATATCAAAGCAACAATTCTAAATTTTTGTATGTTATACAAATTATGTTTTTGCTGTGAGCCAAAAAAAAAAAACACATGTCAACTAATAGGAGTTATGGTTTTGATTCATTTTATGATTAAAACTGCTTTTAGTTGAATATATTGTATGATGTACTATCTGAAAAAAATCTTTTTCGGGTTTTGCATTAAGCATACTGCATGTTTAATAATTTTCTTTAGACATTTAATAAAAATGTTTTTATAGCTATTATGATGAAATTTAATTCTTTTGTAACCACAACTAAAATCAGAAGAGATTTTAACATCTACGATTACATGTAGATATATATTTTGTGGATTTTGTTTTTTAAAACCATTCTTAGTAGAATTAGCTGAGTCAACACCATTTGTTGCTGATTCCCTCGTGGTCCTCCGCCGGTTTTCCGGATCTGCAACATCCAATCGCCGACGGTCACCCGACGGTCCGGATCTGCAACACCACCAGACCCGTTCGGCTGTGGTCGACGCTCTCGATAGGGTCGCTGGCCGATCTCTCTCTTCCCTTCGTCTCTTCGTTTTCGTTTTTGCGGTTTAAACTTGGCGCCGTTGAAGTGCGGTTGGAATTCGAGTGGGGTTGTGGTGTTTAACTCTTCTCGTGGTTGCCAATTCGGTGTTCTTATCTACTCTCGCCATTCAACGGTGGCGGTGCTGTTCGTGTTGCGGAGTGGGCGTGTTTTTCTCTTCCTGGTTGCTAGTGGTTGAACTTCTCCAGCCGGTTGTCCGTCCTAGTGGAGTTGGTTGCCTCTGTCATCGAAATCTGGAAGTGGCAGTAATCAACTGCAGCGGCTGGTTCTTCTTTTTCCTCCCCCTTCAGTTTTAATATTTCAAAAAAGAAGAATTACTCTAATGTGTATTTCCTGTGAATCCACCCGTTGTAGCAGCCGCGGTATAAGTGGGTGTTAGATTTTTCTTCTCCGTGGCGGCGGTTCAGGTGGAACTCGGATATTGGATTTTGTGGGGCTGCTTCTACATTGCCTTTGGTTCCTGTTTCTCTCCTCGGCACCACATCTTCTTCGAGCTGCCGCTCCCTCGCGCTCACCCTCTTCCTCGACCGATCCTTGATCGCTGCTGCTGCTGCCTAGGAGCACTTGCCGTTTTCCATTCTTCGGATCCAAATTTCCCCTTTTCCATCAAGGGTACATATCACCGCTGCTGGGGTGGTCCGCTTGCACGCAGTCTCTGGCGACTAGAGTGTGATGTGAAATCTGCTCGTGGCATTTGGAGGACGGGGTACATAGCAAGAGTTGCTTCCGCAGATTGAACTCTTACTGAACTCTTCGATCGTCGATCTTGCTTGTAGATATTATCCCAGACGGTGGTCTCGTTTGTGAGGATTGCGTTGTAGGTTTTTGGAGGAAGGTGGGTGGTAATCAAATGCGGAGAAGCACGTTACGCTGCAGCTTCAGCTCTGGTCGTCAAAGCGGAACTGGGATCTGATTGTTCATACATCTTTGACGTGCATCGCACTTGGTGAGAATTCTCACGAGGAACAGAGGAGGGTGGGATGAACGGAGATGTTACAATAAATGATTGTACATGGATGATTTAATCTTCTCTCTTATTTTTCAGAAATTATAATGAGGCGATTAATAGTGGCAATGTTTTTGGATTTTAAGCCACAAACTAAAGTTAATTGTTACATATGTGAAATTGGTGAAAGCTTGTGAAACAGTTAAAATTGCCAATTAATGAGGATTATTTTTGCTCATAGATGATTATACATTTTTTGAAAGATTAATCTTTTTTTTTTTTTTTTTTTTTTTTTTGTATGTATTATGATTTTGTATCATGATCTTGATATTAACAACAATTAAATGCAATATGGCATAGTATTGTTTAAAAGTCATCAAACTTGTTATTTTTGAAATTCTTTAATATACTATTAATATTTTAATAAAGGTATAGGATTATTTGTGTGTAACTTCTAATTTTATTATAGTAATAATCATCTAAATTCTTATTTGATAGATTTTTTCTCATATTATAGTAGAATATTGATCTAATACATATATAAACTTAAGCACTAATTGAAAGAAATCTTGTGGATTTTATAGATATTTTGGTGTTCTCTTATCTATTTACGATTTAAACCTTAAGAGAGAAAGGTTGTTACATCATATAATGGATTTTTTGCAATTATCAATGAACATAATAGCAAATATGAGAACATTTTTGAGATCAAATGTATTGAATGAAAGACAATGCAATAACTTGGTGAGAAACTTTTCAAGGGGTCTCCAAAGCATTGCTCTAATTCAAAGCATTATTGGTGGTTCTTATATCAATGTGTTTGATGAAGCAATAAAAGATTTGTTCCAAACTGTAAGCAAAGTAGGAGCCTTGATTGAAGAATGTTGTAAAGAAAATTGGCTTGAAGTTGTAGTGATGCAAATTAATAATAAAGAAGCTTTTAGAGAACTTCTTATAAATTTAGAGTGTTGTTTTGATACTATTTGTGGCATCTTTCAATGTCATTATGTTGATCAAAGTGAAGAGATCAATGGAATTAAAAGGGATACCACATTTTTTCCAACATCCATTGATGAAGTTGATCAAGATTTAGTTTCATTGGATATGAAGCTTACTGGTATTATATTGCAACAACAATGTTCTAGTGAACATGTTCAACTTGCCAAATATTTGAAAGGACGGATAAGAGGTATTCAAAAGGCTGAAGGAGGTGCATTAGATATTATTGTTTATCCTGATGATTATCCTCATCCTGAATATGGAAGGCCACCTATTTTACTAGATGGAAAAGAACAAGGACAAGTGCAAGGACGAGTAGCAATATATTCAACAAAATGGTTGGGTTTGGAAAGTGCAACAAAGGTGATTCCTACTTTTGACATATGTGAGGATTACAAAAAAGTTATTTTGAAAGAAGCTGGCATTTTGGGTGGATTAAGTCATCCAAATATTATCAAGCTTTTTTGTTGTGGTTTTTCTGGAGAAAGGAGACAATTTGAATTTGTGATGGAACGAGGAAAGATGACCTTATCTAAAATGTTGGAAAAAAAAATCCACTTTCAAGAGTCATTGCATTAGACATTATACTACAAATTGCAAGTGGAATGTGTTACATGCATGATATGAAGGTAGCACATCGTGACTTGAAGTCTAATAATGTTATTATTAATCTAATAGATATTTCAAATGTAGAAAGTATGACTTGTGTATATGTGAAATTGCTTGATTTTGATATTTCAAAGGTTGAAGTGAAGAACACTCCACAAACACCCACAGGAAGAATTATAGGTACTATTGGATATATGGCACCTAAGGTCATAAATAATAATAGAGATGAAAACTCTTGGCTTAAGGTGGATGCTTTGAAAGCTGATGTGTTTAATTTTGGCATGTTGTGTAGTGAAATTATTTTAGGATCAAAACCTTTTGGAGGTGAAGGTCATCTTTATAGCTATCAATCAAAAATAGAAAGTGGTAAAAGACCTGATTTATCAAATGCTTGTTCAAAAGAATTAAAATTATTGGTAGAAAATTGTTGGACTTTGGATCCATTACAAAGACCTACTTTTCTTGAGATTTATTCAAGATTGAAACTATTGAAGAAGAAGATGCACCAAAGGCCTTTGGAAGGTAGAGGCCTTAAATATGAAGAAAATACATCATGGATGGGCATTGGAATATGGCAATTTTTTGCCACTTTAATCCAAGGCTTGTGGTTCTTGTGCCAAATTAGAAAAATTAATTTAACCACTTCATTACTACTTGACCAAGAAAACTTTGGTCCATTAAACCAAATTATTTATAAGGTATGTATTCTTTTAAAACTTGTATTTTAATTATAATAGATATAATATGGTGTAATATGTGAATAGAATCTTGACAAGCATAAAGAAACTTTAATTTTTGTAAGTTATTGGAATACTCAAATTTGGGAGCTTGTAAAATATTGCAGGTTAATGGAAAAACTAATAAAAATTTAAAACTAATTGGTGTAGAAGAAAAAGTATTTGAATTGGAAAAAAAACTACAAAATGTTAGTAGTTTGGGTATCATTGGGATGGGAGGAATCGGTAAGTCAACATTGGCTAAGGCTCTAAGCAACTACATTTTCCATAAGTTTCAAGTAATATGCTTTATAGATGACTTAAAAGATGGAAAATGCAGACTCCTATTAAAGAATATATTAGAAGATTTGCATGAGCAATCCCAAGTATATTCTTTGCAAGAAGGACGAAATATGTTGAAAAATCTTCAAAAAAGAAAGAAGATTCTTATTGTCTTAGATGATGTGAGAAGTAACAATCAATTAAATGAGTTGTTGGGTTTTGGTAAGTTTAAAGATAATGATGGTAATAAATTGATTGCAACTAGTCGTATTTGGAGCTCTTTAGAACAACACATACCAATGCATGGAAGAGTGGATATGGAAAAGCTTGATACAACTAAATCTATGGAATTATTTTCTATGTATGCATTTTCAACCAATGGAGCTAATTCATTGTATTTCAAAGACGTAGTTGAAAAGATTGTTAAAGCTTGTGGTGGACTTCCATTGAGTTTAGAAGTTATGGGGACTTATTTGCATGGAAATCAACAACTAAGGATATGGGAACGAACTTTGCATAGGTTATTGCAAGCAAGACATGATGGAAGTGTGGACGAAAAAATTTGGAAGACATTAAGAATAAGCTTTGATGATCTTAATTCTGATGAAAGAAACATGTTTTTGGATATAGCTTGTTTTTTTTGTCATGATTCTTATCCTGGAGAGATAGGTGAAGGAAAACTATTACGCATTTTAAGTGATGATATTGAAATTCCCAAAAATACCCTTAAGAATTTGCAAGACAAATCACTGTTAGTTATAGATGATAATGGACAATTGCACATGCACGATCAACTACGTGATATGGGTCGCATGCTTACAGAGACAGAATATAAAGGATCTAGAGATCGAGAATTATGTTTGGCTACATTTAATGATTGTAATCAAAAGGTGAGTATAATATTATTGGTTTATTAAATTTTTTACTTTCAGAAATATATATTTGTATGCTAATAATTTATACATTTAAAATTGATTATCTATTACTAAATTTGTATTTGTATAAATAAGGCATCGAATTTATCCAAGGTCTCTCCTTTACAAAATTAGAACAAAAATTGGAATATAAAAGTAAATTAAAAATCAATACTATGTACTATTCACATCTACGCTTGCTTATTTTTTACTTGTGTGAAGATTTTGACTTTATTTCAACTCTTGTAGAGAAAACTTCCAAACTTCAATGCTTAATCATGCACTTTTCAAATGAAGATTATATAGTTAAAATTCAAAAAGATACTATTTTAAGATTTTGGAATATTTTTGAACATGAGGCTTTCAACGAAATGCGTTGTCTTGTCCTTGATAATTGTAGCTTTCTTGAATCTTTTCCAAATAATGTATACAAATCATTACAATTAACTGATTTAGAATTGGCAAATTGTATAAATTTGAAACAGTTGACAACCAATTTGTATAACATGACATCTTTGGTTACTCTTTGCCTTAGAAATTGTTCATTATTAGAAGAGTTTCCAAGTGGATTGAAAAATTTGGTATCATTGGAATATTTATGTCTCTTTAAGTGTAAAAAATTGAAGAACTTGTCGAAAGGATTTGGAAGCTTGACATGTTTGAAGAAGCTATACATGTACGAATGTGAGGCTTTGGAAGAGTTTCCAAGTGGATTGGAGAATTTGGTCTCACTAGAAGAATTGGATTTCTCAAAGTGTAGAAAGTTGAAAAACTTACCAACAGGGTTTGGAAGCTTGATATGCTTGAAGAAGCTATATATGTGGGAATGTGAGGCTTTGGAAGAGTTTCCAAGTGGATTGGAGAATTTAGTTTCATTAGAAGAATTGACTTTCTCTAAGTGTAGAAAGTTGAAAAACTTACCAGAAGGATTTAGAAGCTTAACATGTTTGAAGAAACTATACATGTGGGAATGTGAGGCTTTGGAAGAGTTTTCAAGTAGATTAGAAAATTTGGTTTCATTGGAAGAATTGGCTTTTTCATTGTGTAAGAAGTTAAAAACCTTGATAAAAGGGTTTGGAAGTTTAATATGTTTGAAGAAGTTAATAATGTATGAATGTGAGGCTTTGGAAGAATTTCCAAGTGGATTAAAAAATTTGATTTCATTAGAAGAATTGGATTTCTCAAAGTGTAGGAAGTTGAAAAACATACCAGAAGGGTTTCAAAGCTTGACATGTTTGAAGAGGTTAATTATGCAAGAATGTGAGATTTTGAAGAAGTTTCCAAGTGGATTAGAGAATTTGGTTTCATTGGAATATTTGGCCTTTTCAAAGTGTAGGAAGTTGAAAAACTTACCTGAAGGATTTGGAAGCTTGACATGCTTGAAGAAACTAAACATGCAAGAATGTGAGGCACTGGAAGAGTTTTTAAGTGGATTAGATAATTTGATTTCATTAGAAGAATTGACTTTTTCAAAGTGTAGGAAATTAAAAACTTACGAGAAGGATTTGGAAGCTTGACATGCTTGAAGAAACTAAACATGCGAGAATGTGAGGCTTTGGAAGAGTTTCCTAGTGGATTAGATAATTTGGCTTCATTGAAATATTTAGATTTTTCAAAGTGTAGGAAGTTGAAAAACTTACAAGAAGGGTTTGGAAGCTTGACATGCTTAAAGAAGCTATTCATGTCAGAATGTGAAGCTTTGGAAGAGTTTCCAGGTGGATTGGAGAATTTGGTTTTATTAAAAGAATTGGCTTTCTCTAAGTGTAGGAAATTGAAAAACTTACGTGAAGGGTTTGGAAGTTTGACATGCTTAAAGAAGCTCGATATGAAGGAATGTGAGGCTTTGGAAGAGTTTCCAAGTGGATTGGAGAATTTGGTTTTATTGGAAGAATTAAATTTCTCAAAATGTAAGAAATTAACAAACTTACGAGAAGGATTTCAAAGCTTGACATGTTTAAAGAAGTTAATCATGCAAGAATGTGAGGCTTTGGAAGAGTTTCCAAGTGGATTAGAGAATTTCATTTCATTAGAGGAATTAGATTTCTCAAAGTGTAAGAAGTTGAAAAACTTACGAGAAGGATTTGGAAGTTTGACATGCTTGAAGAAATTAAACATGTGGGAATGTGGGACTTTGGAAGAGTTTCCAAGTGGATTGGAGAATCTAGTTTCATTGGAAGAATTGGCTTTTTCAAAGTGTAAGAAGTTCAAAAACTTATGAGAAGGGTTTGGAAGCTTGACATGCTTGAAGAAACTATTTATGTGGGAATGTGAAGCTTTAGAAGAGTTTCCAAGTGGATTGGAGAATTTGGTTTCATTGGAAGAATTGGCTTTTATTAAGTGTAGGAATTTAAAAAACTTACAAGAAGGGATTGAAAGCTTGACATGCTTGAAGAAGCTCTTTATGTTGGAATGTGACGCTTTGGAAGAGTTTCCAAGTAGATTTGAGAATTTGATTTCATTAGAAGAATTAGACTTCTCAATGTGTAGGAAGTTGAAAAACTTACGAGAAGGGTTTGGAAGCTTGATATGCTTGAAGAAGCTATGCATGTGGGACTGTGAGGCTTTGGAAGAATTTTCAAGTGGATTGAAGAATTTGGTTTCATTGAAAGAATTGGATTTCTCAAAATGTAGGAAGTTGATAAACTTACGAGAAGGATTTGGAAGCTTGACATACTTGAAGAAGCTATACATGTGGGAATGTGAGGCTTTGGAAGAGTTTCCAAGTGGATTGAAGAATTTGGTTTTATTGGAAGAATTAAATTTCTCAAAATGTAGGAAGCTGAGAAACTTACTAGAAGGTTTTCAAAGCTTGACATGTTTGAAGAGGTTAATTATGCGAGAATGTGAAGCTTTGGAAGAGTTTCCAAGTGGATTGAAGAATTTGATTTCATTAGAAGAATTGGATTTTTCAAAGTATAGGAAGTTGACAAACTTACGAGAAGGTTTTCAAAGCTTGACCTGTTTGAAGAGGTTAATTATGGAAGAATGTGAGGCTTTGGAAGAGTTTCCAAGTGGATTGGAGAACTTGGTTTCATTGGAAGAATTAAATTTTTCAAAATGTAAGAAGTTGACAAATTTACGAGAAGGACTTAGAAGCTTGACATGTTTGAAGAAGCTATACATGTGGGAATGTGAGGCTTTGAAAGAGTTTCCAAGTGGATTGAAGAATTTGATTTCATTGGAAGAATTAAATTTCTCAAAATGTAGGAAGTTGACAAAATTACGAGAAGGATTTGGAAGCTTAACATGCTTAGAGAAGCTATACATGTGGGACTGTGAGGCTTTGGAAGAGTTTCCAAGTGGATTGAAGAATTTATTTTCATTGGAAGAGTTGGATTTCTCAAAATATAGGAAGTTGACAAACTTACGAGAAGGATTTGAAAGCTTGACATGCTTGAAGAAGCTATACATGTGGAATTGTGAGGCTTTGGAAGAATTTCCAAGTGGATTGGAGAATTTGGTTTCATTGGAAGAATTAATCTTCTCAAAATGTAGGAAGTTGAGAAACTTACTAGAAGGATTTGGAAGCTTGACATGCTTGAAGAAGTTATACATGTGGGAATGTGAGGCTTTGGAAGAGTTTTCAAGTAGATTGAAGAATTTGATTTCATTAGAAGAATTAAATTTCTCAAAGTGTAAGAAGTTGATAAACTTACAAGAAGGTTTTCAAAGCTTGACCTATTTGAAGAGGTTAATTATGGAAGAAAGTGAGGCTTTGGAAGAATTTCCAAGTGGATTGGAGAATTTGGTTTCATTGGAAGAATTAAATTTCTCAAAATATAAGAAGTTGACAAACTTACGAGAAGGATTTGGAAGCTTGACATGTTTGAAGAGATTAATTATGCAAGAATGTGAGGCTTTGGAAGAGTTTTCAAGTGGATTGGAGAATTTGGTTTCATTGGAAGAATTGGATTTCTCAAAGTGTAGGAAGTTGAGTAAGTTGCCGAAAGGATTTGAAAGCTTGACATGTTTGAAGAAGTTAAACATGTGGGAATGTGAGGCTTTGGATGAGTTTCCAAATGGATTGGAGAATTTGGTTTCATTGGAAGAATTGAATTTCTCAATGTGTAAGAAGTTGAAGAAGTTGCCGGAAGGATTTGGAAGCTTGACATGTTTGAAGAAGCTATATATGTGGGAATGTGAGGCTTTGGAAGAGTTTCCAAGTGGATTGAAGAATTTGGTTCTATTGGAAGAATTAGATTTTTCAACATGTAGGAAGTTGAAAAACTTACAAGAAGGATTTAGAAGCTTGACATGTTTGAAGAAGCTATACATGTGGGGATGTGAGGCTTTGGAAGAGTTTCCAAGTGGATTGAAGAATTTGATTTCATTAGAAGAATTAAATTTCTCAAAATATAAGAAGTTGATAAACTTACAAGAAGGTTTTCAAAGCTTGACTTGTTTGAAGAGGTTAATTATGGAAGAATGTGAGGCTTTGGAAGAGTTTCCAAGTGGATTGGAGAATTTGATTTTATTGGAAGAATTAAATTTCTCAAAATGTAAGAAATTGACAAACTTACGAGAAGGATTTGGAAGCTTGACATGCTTGAAAAAGCTATATATGTGGGAATGTGAGGCTTTGAAAGAGTTTTCAAGTGGATTGAAGAATTTAGTTTTATTAGAAGAATTAAATTTCTCAAAATGTAGGAAGTTGAGAAATTTACAAGAAGGATTTCGAAGCTTGACATGTTTGAAGAGGTTAATTATGCAAGAATGTGAGGCTTTGGAAGAGTTTCCAAGTGGATTGGAGTATTTGGTTTCATTGGAAGAATTGGATTTTTCAAAGTGTAGGAAGTTGAGAAAGTTACCGGAGGGATTTGAACGCTTGACCTGTTTGAAGAGGTTAATTATGGAAGAATGTGAGGCTTTGGAAGAGTTTCCAAGTGGATTGGAGAACTTGGTTTCATTGGAAGAATTAAATTTTTCAAAATGTAAGAAGTTGACAAATTTACGAGAAGGACTTGGAAGCTTGACATGTTTGAAGAAGCTATACATGTGGAAATGTGAGGCTTTGGAAGAGTTTCCAAGTGGATTGAAGAATTTGGTTCTATTAGAAGAATTGGATTTTTCAACATGTAGGAAGTTGAAAAACTTACAAGAAGGATTTGGAAGCTTGACATGCTTGAAGAAGCTATACATGCAGGAATGTGAGGCTTTGGAAGAGTTTCCAAGTGGATTGAAGAATTTGGTTTTATTGGAAGAATTGGATTTTTCAACATGTAGAAAGTTTAAAAACTTACGAGAAGGATTTGGAAGCTTGACATGCTTGAAGAAGCTATACATGTGGGAATGTGAGGCTCTGGAAGAGTTTCCAAGTAGATTGAAGAATTTGGTTCTATTGGAAGAATTGGATTTTTCAACATGTAAGAAGTTGAAAAACTTACGAGAAGGATTTGGAAGCTTGACATGTTTGAAGAAGCTATACATGTGGGAATGTGAGGCTCTGGAAGAGTTTCCAAGTGGATTGAAGAATTTGGTTCTATTGGAAGAATTGGATTTTTCAACATGTAAGAAGTTGAAAAACTTACAAGAAGGATTTGGAAGCTTGGCATGCTTGAAGAAGCTATATATGTGGGAATGTGAGGCTTTGGAAGAGTTTCCAAGTGGATTGAAGAATTTGGTTTTATTGGAAGAATTGAATTTTTCAACATGTAGAAAGTTAAAAACTTACGAGAAGGATTTGGAAGATTGACATGTTTGAAGAGATTAATTATGGAAGAATGTGAGGCTTTGGAAGAGTTTCCAAGTGGATTGAAGAATTTGGTTTTATTGGAGGAATTAAATTTCTCAAAATGTAGGAAGTTGAGAAACTTACGAGAAGGATTTGGAAGCTTGACATGCTTGAAGAAGCTATACATGTGGGAATGTGAGGCTTTGGAAGAGTTTCCAAGTGGATTGAAGAATTTGATTTCATTAGAAGAATTTAATTTCTCAAAATGTAGGAAGCTGAGAAACTTACTAGAAGGTTTTCAAAGCTTGACATGTTTGAAGAGGTTAATTATGCGAGAATGTGAAGCTTTGGAAGAGTTTCCAAGTGGATTGAAGAATTTGATTTCATTAGAAGAATTTAATTTCTCAAAATGTAGGAAGCTGAGAAACTTACTAGAAGGTTTTCAAAGCTTGACATGTTTGAAGAGGTTAATTATGCGAGAATGTGAAGCTTTGGAAGAGTTTCCAAGTGGATTGAAGAATTTGATTTCATTAGAAGAATTGGATTTTTCAAAGTATAGGAAGTTGACAAACTTACGAGAAGGTTTTCAAAGCTTGACCTGTTTGAAGAAGCTATACATGTGGGAATGTGAGGCTTTGAAAGAGTTTCCAAGTGGATTGAAGAATTTGATTTCATTGGAAGAATTAAATTTCTCAAAATGTAGGAAGTTGACAAAATTACGAGAAGGATTTGGAAGCTTAACATGCTTAGAGAAGCTATACATGTGGGACTGTGAGACTTTGGAAGAGTTTCCAAGTGGATTGAAGAATTTGATTTCATTAGAAGAATTAGACTTTTCAATGTGTAGGAAGTTAAAAATCTTGGAGGAAGGATTTGGAAGCTTAATATGTTTGAAGAAGTTAATAATGTATGAATGTGAGGCTTTGGAAGAGTTTTCAAATGGATTGGAGAATTTGGTTTTATTGGAAGAAGTCGATTTCTCAGAATGTAGGAAGTTGAAAATCTTACCGAAAGGGTTTGGAAGCTTGACATGCTTGAGAAAGCTATACATGTGGGAATGTGAGGCTTTGGAAGAGTTTCCAAGTGAATGGAAGAATTTGGTTTTATTGGAAGAATTGGCTTTTTCAAAGTGTAGGAAGTTGAAAAGCTTACAAGAAGGATTTGGAAGCTTGACATGCTTGAAGAAGCTATATATGTGAAATGTGAGGCTTTGAAAGAGTTTCCAAGTAGATTGGAGAATGCGGTCTCATTGGAAGAATTAGATTTTTCAAAGTGTACAAAGTTGATAAACTTACCAAAAGAGTTTCAAAGCTTGACATGTTTAAAGAGGCTAATTATACAAGAATATGAGGCTTTAAAAGAGTTTCCAAATTTATTAGAGGATTTGGTTTTATGAGAAGAATTGGCTTTTTCAAAGTATAGGAAGTTGAAAAACTTATGGAAAGGGTTTGAAAGCTTGACATGCTTGAAAAAGCTATATATGTGGGAATGTGATGCTTTGGAAGGATTTTCAAGTAGATTCAAGAATTTGGTCTCACTAAAAGAGTTGAATTTTATAAAGTGTTGGAAGTTGAAAAACTTACGTGAAGGATTTAGAAGCTTGTCATGCTTGAAGAAACAAAACATATGGTAATGTGAGGCATTTGAGGAATTTTTAAGAGGATTGGAGAATTTATTTTCATTAGAAGAATTAGATTTCTTAATGTATAGGAAGTTAAAAAACTTGGAAGAAGGATTTGGAAGCTTGACATGCTTGAACAAACTAAACATGTCGAAATGTAAGACTTAGGAAGAGTTTTCAAGTGGATTGAAGAATTTGGTTTCATTGAAAGAATTGGCTTTTTCAAAGTATAGGAAATTAAAAAATTTACAAAAAAGGTTTAGAAGCTTGATACGCTTGAAAAAACTAAACATATGGGAGTGTGAGGCTTTGAAAGAGTTTTCAAGTAGATTAGAGAATTTGGTTTTATTGGAAGAATTGGATTTTTCAATGTGTAGGAAGTTAAAAAACTTAGTGGAAGGATTTGGAAGCTTATTATGTTTGAAGAAGTTAATAATGCATAAATGTGAGGCTTTGGAAGGATTCTCAAGTAGATTAGAGAATTTGGTTTTATTGAAAGAATCAGATTTCTCAATATGTAGGAAGTTGAAAAACTTGTTGAAAGGATTTAGAAGCTTAATATGCTTGAAGGAGCTATATGTGTAGAAATGTGAGGCTCTAGAGGAATTTCCAAGTGAACTAGCAAATTTGGTTTCATTAAAAGAATTTTACTTCTCTAAGTGTTGAAAGTTGAAATCCTTACTAAAAGAATTTAGAAGCTTGACATGCTTAAAGAAACTAAACATATAGAAATATGAGGCTTTAGAAGAGTTTTTAAGTAGATCGGAGAAATTTGTTTCATTGGAAGAATTAGAATTTTTAAATTGTAGAAATTTGAAAAACTTTTTGGAAGAATTTGGAAGCTTAGCATGCTTAAAGAAGCTATATATGTGGGAATGTGAGGCTTTGGAAGAGTTTCAAAGTGGATTGGAGAATTTAGTTTTATTGGAAGAATTAAATTTCTCAATGTGTAGGAAGTTGAAATACTTTCCGGAAGGATTTGGAAGCTTAGCATGTTTGAAGAAACTAAACATGTGGAAATGTGAGGCTTTGGAGAGTTTGGTTTCATTGGAAGAATTAGAATTTGTATGTAAAAGAAGTTTAAAAACTTATCAAAAAGGTTTGGAAGTTTAGCATGTTTAAAAAAGCTAAGGATGTTGGTAATGTGATGATTTGGAAGAGTTTCTAAGTAGATTGAAGAGTTTCATTTTATTGGAAGAATATGATTTTTTAAAGTATAGAAATTTATAGATGTTGCCAAAAGAATTTAGAAGCTTAATATGTTTATTTAACATCTGGAAATATAAGTCTTTTGAAATGTTTCTAAGTAGAATGAAGATTCTAGTATCATTTGAAGAATTAAATTTCTTAAAATATAAGTTAATAAATTTTTTAAAAAGGTTTAAAAGTTTGAAATTTTTGAAAAATTTAATAACATAGAAATATAATATTTTAGAATATTTTTTAAGTACAATTAGAGATTTTTGGAGATCATTAGAAGGATTGGCTTTTTTAAAGTATAGAAAGTTGAAGATGTTGTGCAAAAGATTTTGAAGCTTAATATATATTAAGATGTTTATTAAAAAAGAATATGAGGCTTTAAAAGAGTTTCTAAGTAAATTAGAGTATTTGGTTTAATGTGAGAGATGAAATTTCTTGAAATGAAGAAAATTTTCAAATTTGCTTAAATTGTTTAGAAAATTGAGATGCTTAATGAAAGGAAATATATTTAAGCGTGAAACTTTGAAAGATTTCTAGTTAAATTAGACAGTCCAATTACATTAAAAAAAATTATGGTTTTACTTTAGCAAAAAATTAAAGAAGTTGGAATAAAGATTTAGACATTTGAAATTTGTAAAGAGGTTAAATATGTACAAATATGAAACTTTGAAGGAATTTCAAAGTAAAAGAAGAAGATTAGTTGCATTGGAGGAATTAAAATTTTCAAAGTAGAAAAAAAGAAAAAAGTTTCTAAATGGGTTTAGAATGTTGATATGTTTAAAGAAACTAAATACTTAAAAATTTGAGGATTTGGAAGATATTCCAAGTAGATTGAAAAATTTGATTGTATTGAAAGAATTACGCTTCTGTAAATACAAGAAATTAAAAAAAAAAATTAGATGTATTTAAAAGCTTGATATGTTTGAAGAATCTAAATATATACAAATTTAAGGCTTTAAAGAAGTTTCTTAATTTATTAAAAAATCTAGTTACATTAAAATAATTAATTTTTTTAAAATATTATAAATAGAAGTAATTTCTAAAAGGATTTAGATCCTTGATTTATTTAAATAATTTTATCAAATAAAAATATTATGATTTAGAAAAATTTCCTAATTTATTAAAAAAAATTAAGTACAAAAATCAAAGAAGCTATTTACAAAAATTAGGGAGCATAATTTGATTGAAGATGAAAATATGTATCTTCAATAGAACTTTTAAGTAAATTTGAGAATTAAATTATAGGTTTTATATTTTGAGAAATATATTTTATATAGAATTATTTTTTAATTTTAAAAACATTATATTTTTTAAAGTATAGACATATCAAAGATTTTTAACATATTATTATAATTAGAAGCATAAAAAATAGAGAGGTGGATTAATTCATAATTTTAAAAAGACAAAAAAAAATCATCATTAAAAAATTATAGTTAAAGGTCTTATTTCTAAAAATTAAAGAATTTATAAATTATTTTAAATTTACTATTAGATTTGTTGACCTCAAAAAATAAAAAAGAAATCAAATCAAAACTTATATAATCCTACTTATTTGCAAAATAAACTTTAAATTCAAATATTTTTATTTTTTAAAATTTATCAAAAAACCTTTTATATTATAAATCAAAATCGCAAAATTAATATCAAAATTAATATACCTTGCATAATAATTAATAATTAAGGGAATCCATAATAACAATGGATATAGTCAAGAAAAAGCTTGGTTATTTTTTTACTTGTGATAGATTTTGTACATGGTATAAAATATGCCATCTTGATGAAACAATCTATTATTATGAATATAGAATCATACAAATCTAAGACTAAAAGATTTGTAATAAAATCTATTGAAACAAAAGACCATAATTGTTTCAATATAGATAATGGTTGAAAAAATCCATAAGGTCAATGACGAGGAGTTAGGAATCTTAAAAAAATATCACATAATTCTACAAAGTCTTTAATTGCTTTTTACATTTGAAGCCATAAATTTTTTTTTAAATATTAGCTCCAAAGTCTTGTTGTATCCAAAATATCTGGTTGTTAGAAAGTCATGACAAGCTTAAAAAACATGTAATCATGCTTTGCCTTTTGGAATATATAATTATCTTTAAAAATAAAATAGATTATTTTTAAACTCAAACTTAAAAGTATCATCAAACTTAGAAGAATTATTTTTAATATCATAAATAAGAGGATCACAGGACATACTTGATTAAACTTGCTTAGCAAAGGTTGAATTTATAATCAATATTGATTTTATTATTCGAATGAGAAAATACTTTGACTACAAGAGAAATATTTTTTATTAATCCAAAGATGCATTTTTTTCTTTTGATGCAAGATAAGAATGTTTAGAAAGAGAATCTAACAAATTTTGTTTTTTTTTGGATTAATAAATAATCTTGAAATCAAATCTTGATAAAGACATACTCCAATAAGCTTGGCAATAATTCAAAATAAATATCAACATGAAATATTTAAAATTCTTGTGATTTTTATATATTGTGATTGAATGAAAAGCACCTTCTAGATGATAACGTCATTCTTGAAATGAATCCACAATTGTAAGAAGTTCTTTATTATAGATCTTGTAGTTAACCTTCATTGCTAAAAATTTCTTGGAATGAAAAGCTATCAGATAGAGCTTGATATCTACTACCATTTGTTACAAAACAATATCTATAATAAAGATTGATGCATCTATTTTTATTAAGAATGTCTTAAAAAATCAATGCAATACAAAATTGATGTAGAAATAAATGTTGTCTTTAAGGCTTCAAAAAATATTTCCACTTCTTTGCTCAACTCAAGTTTGTCTTTACATGTCAAATATGTAAGAGGAGTCACAATTTGAAAAAAGTTCCTAATAAAGATTTTGTAATAATTGGCAAATTCTAAAAAATATTCTATATTTTTTACTATTTTTGATATCTTCTAATCTATGATAGTCTAGACTTTTTTCAAATCCATCATTAGTCCTTTGTTGAAAATGATATATCCTAAGAAGTCAACTTGAAATATGTAAAATACACACTTTTCTATCTTAATTTATAATCTTGTATCTCTAAGTTTTTGTAATATACAACAAATATGAAGTTCATATTCTTTTGTATTTTTAGAATAGATTAGAATGTCGTCTAAATAACATACAATAAAATCATCAAAAAATTCATGAAAAATATCATTGATAAAATATTGAAAAGTAAGTGGTACATTTATAAGTCCAAAAGGCATGACATTATATTTTAAATATCTATATTTAATTCAAAAAATAGTCTTTTATTTATCTCTTTCTTTGATGTATACAAGATTGTATGTTCCTCATAGATCTATTTTTATATAGATATTTGTTTAATTGAGTTACTTAAAAAGTCTTGAAATTAGAAGTAAGAGATACCTATTCTTAATGGTGATCTTATTAAATCCTCAATAGTCTACGTACATCTACAGAGATCCATCATTTTTCTTCACAAATAAGATAAGATCTCCTATTGGAGATTTTAAATAGTGTGTGAAGTTTTTAGCTAAGTTCTTATCAATGTATTTTTTAATGTAGCCAATTTATTTTGTAATAAGCTATAGATTAGTCCAAATAGTGGTTATGTATCTTCTTACAAATCAAGCAACTCGGCAAATTATAAGATATCAATATCTAGAATTTACGTTGGATGAATAAATTTGAATTGGATAAATAATTATAATAGATGAAATTTGGTTCAAGTTGGATGAATTTTAAAAATTAGATAAAAAATTATATTAGATGAGACTTTATTTTGGATGAAAATTTATTCTTAGATAAATTATTATTTTAAAATTAATTATTATTTACAAATAAATTATGATAAAAAAAAACAAAAAAAATTTCTATGCATGAAATTCTTTGTATTCCTTTATAATTCAAGTACAATTTATGATGAAGGTTTTATTGCTTAATTGAATTAATTGAAAAAATTTGAAGAATTATTTAACAAAATTTAAATAATAGTTACAAATAATAGAATATATAGATAAATTAATTATTATGAACTACAATAAACTTCTAATTAATGGAGATTTATTATACTTACAATATACAAAACACAAAGAATTTTTGCAATATAAACAATATTGCTTCACATATTAGAACCTCCTCAAGAAGAAAAAAAATAACATGAATTTCAAGCACAAAAAACAAAATCCTAAGAAAAATTTTTATTTATGAAAAATTTAGAAAGCAAATATGAGAAAAAAATGAAACAAGACAGATTTTGAACATACTAGCAGGAAAAAAAAAAAAAAAAAAAAAAAAAAAAAAACTTGTTAAGACTACAACAACCTTTAGTATCTTAACAAGGAAGAAAAGAAATATATTTAGAGGCACTAGGGCCACAACCGCTTATGAACCATTGCCAACTAGATTAGCAAGAAGAGAAGAAAAAAACGGTGCATTGTTCTACTGTAACTCACTTCTAGAAATTTACACAAGATATCAAAATCAAAAATTGCCAAAAGAGAGTCCATGCTAGAAAAATACAACGACTCCAAGTGCAGCAAGCTAAGAATGGTAGAATTTTGGAAACAAAATGTGAAAGGAGAAAAGAATAAGAAAATAGAAATAATGGAAGAGAGGCCAACAACAACCTTGGACCCTTCTTTGATTGTATTCCTCTTCAAAAACAATAGATTGTATTTTCTTCTCATTTAGTAGTATTTTATCTAACCTTTTATCATCTTTTTCTTATGATCATATTACATGATTAGATTTGGTAGAAAAAAATTCTTTTTCTTGCTAATATTATGCTACTTGAAATGCTAAAATGATAAGCCTTGAGCCTTAACTTATACAAGTTTATTGCTTATGTTCTTTTCCACTATTTTCATGAGTAGTAATAAAGAAGGGAGAAGTCAATACCTAAAACAATATCATTTA